ATCCTTTGCATTTTCTCATAATTACTTTCAAATCTTAAATTATTATAGGTACCGCTGGATTTTCACTGAGCTTCAAATATAACCAAGAACTGCTTAGAGGAATTAATACTCTTTGGAAGACAGCTGAGAGATTTATGTAAAATATTTAAAAACAAGTGAAGTAGGTTGCATGTATTAAATCTTATTTTTTGTGGGATGCTCTAGTTTTTATTGCTTTTTAAATGGGAAGACTTATATAACTCTTAGCTTTGATATTCTTGGGAAATTCTATTCCAGACAAACTTTTAGAAAAAGCACATTAGACTCATAAAAGGTAATGTTGTCATAGTTTAAACACAATGGCTGATACTAGCTATTTTAAGAAATATAAAATATTAATTATCTAGATATTAACAAAATAAGGCAAAAAATCATAATTGTATTTTGTGTCTTCAAAATTGCTATTTTAGGTGGTACTAACACTCATTTGCACATACAGTAACATTCATCAGGTGTTGGGCAGGTGGAGGGGAGAGGGGGGATGGGCATATTCACACCTAATGGGTGTGGTGCACACCATCTGGGGAATGGACACGCTTGAAGCTCTGACTTGGGTGGGGCAAATGCAATATACGTAACCTAAACATTTGTAATAAATAAAATAAAATAAAAATATGAAATAAAAAATATGAAAATAAATATCAAGTAACAAAATGTATAAGACATAGATAAAGTAAGAATAATGTAGGAGTACAAGAAAAATGTGGAAAGGCAAAGATAAATGTATTTCTTTTATCTTTATTCTATTTGCAATCAAGTAGTTGTGTGGTAATGGATACTGTACTGTCCCAGTCAGGATTTTCAGAGAAACAGAATCAATAAGGTGTGTGTGTGTCTGTGTGTGTGTGTGTGTACACATGCATACACATATATCACATACATACATATTTCTCACATATACACATATTAATGTGTACATAATATATATATATACATATATATATAGCATATATATATTTTTAAGAAACTGGTCACATGATTGCAGAGTTGGCAGGTCCAAAACCTTTAGGCTGGAAACTCAGAATGAGTCAGTGTTTCAGTCTTGAGGCAGAATTTCTTCTCTGGGAAACCTCGTTTGTTGACCTTCAGGCCTCCCAACTGATTAGGTAAGGCCCACCCACGTGATCCAAGGGACCTCCCTCACTTAGAGTCCACTGATTATAGTTATTAACCTCATCTAAAAAATGCCTTCCCAGCGACACCTAGATTAGCATTTGATTAAAAAATTGGATACTATGGCCTACCAAAGGTGACACATAAAGACAAAAACCTAGCTTCTCATTAGTCCCCAGCTTCCTTAATTATCTGTCACCTGTTGGCTTAATTTAAATTTCAAACCATAGCAGTATAGAAAACTCTGGTACTTATGATAATTATATAAAGTTTTATAATTATATCTTTTCTTCCTTTAGTTGCCTACCTTTCAGTCACTTTGTGGTATACTGGTACATTCATCTGGGAGTCGGAAGGAGAAAAGAGTGCAGCAAGCTCACCGCCACCCCTCTGTGGACTTGAGCAGTGGGCAAGTACACAATACCCCTGTGTGGTCTGGTGAAGCGTAGGGACCCCTGCTCATATTAATGTTTAAATGAAATAATAGAACTAAAAGGAACAACATTTATATGGAAATACGATTAACCAAATTTGTGATACAGCAATATATGGGTTTATTTACAAATAACAAAATCTAGTTGTAGATTAAAATAAATTTAAATTAAATAACAAAATTTAAATTTTGTTATTTAAATTAAATAACAAAATCTAGTTATAGGTTTAATAACTACCATAATTTTATTTTTTTAATTTTTAATTTTAATTATTAATATTGTAGATACATAATAATTATACTTATGAGGTATGTGTGATAATTTGATACAATGTGTAATGATCAAATCAAGGTAACTGAGATACCCATAACTTCATGTTTATCATTTTTTTGTGTTAGGAACATTCCAATTCCATTCTTTTAGCTATTTTGAAATATACAATAAATTAACAATAGCCTCCCAATTGTGCTACCAAACATTAGATCTTATTCCTTATAACTATATTTTTGTGTCCATTAACCATCTCCACTTTATCCTCTCCTCCTTACCACCCTTCCCAGCCTCTGGTAACCATCATTCTACTCTCTATCTCTATGAGTCCAATATATTTTTTTAGCTCCCACACATATGAATGAGAGCATGTGATATTAATATTTCTCTTTGTGTGTCTGGCTTATTTCCCTTGACATAATTTCCTCCAGTTCCATCCAGGTTGTTGCAAATGACAACAGTTCATTCTTTTTTTTGGTTGAATAATACTCCCTGATGCATATGTATCACATTTTCATTATTTATACATCCATTGATGGCCACTTAGGTTGATTCCATATCTTGGCTATGGTGAATAGTGTTGCAATAAACATAAGAGTGCGGATATGTCTTCAATATACGTATTTTCTTTTTGTTGGATGTATACTTTACAGTGGGATGACTGCATCACATGGTAGTTCCGTTTTTAATGTTTTGAGGAGCCCCCCATACTCTTCTCCACAGTGGCTGCAGTAATTCACATTCCCGCCAACACTGTGCCAGGGTTGCCCTTTCTCCTTACCCTTGCCAGGACCCTTTATTGCTTATCTTTCTGACAAAAGCCATTTTAACTGGGGTAAGATGATATCTCATTGTAGTTTTGATTTGCATTTCTCTGATGATTAGTGATGTTGAGAATTTTTTCATATGCCTGTTGGCCATTTCTATGTCTTTTTTAAAGAAATGTCTATTTAGATCTTTTGCTCATATTTAAATCAGATTATTATTTTTTTTCCTGTTGAGTTATTTGAGCTCATTATATATTCTGACTATTAATCCCTTGTAAAATGGATTGTTTGCAAATATTTTCTCCCATTATGTGGGTTTCTTTTAACTTTGTTGATTGCTTCCTTTGCTGTGAAGAAGCTTTTTAGTTTGATGTGATCCCATTTGTTCATTTTTGCTATTGTTGCCTATGTTTTTGAGGTTTTACTCAAGAACTCTTTGCCCAGACCAATGTCCTGGAGTGTTTCCTTAGTGTTTTCTTCTAGTAGTTGCATCCTTTCCCCACTGTATGTTCTTGGCACTTTTGTAGAAAATGAGTTGACTGTAAATGTATTGATTTATTTCTGGGTTCTCTATTCTGTTCCATTGGTCTATGTCTCTGTTTTCATGCCAGTATCACACTGTTTTGGTTACCCTGGATTCGCAATATAATTTGAAATTAGGAAATGTGATGCCCTCAGGTTTTTTCTTTTTGCTCAGCATTACTTTGGCTATTTTGAGTCTTTTGTGGTTTGATATAAATTTAAGGATTTTTTATTTATGTGAAAAATGTCATTAATAACTATCATAATTTTTAAAATGATATGAGTGGAAAAAATATTTTGAAATCCAGAAATAATTGCAATGTAATGTGGATATATTTATAATTTCTTGAACTTCTTGATAAACTTTATAGATATTTCTAATACCACTGTGATCCACTGTATCCCTTCACAATTGAAGGACATGGAGTTAGACATTAGTGAAAATAAAGATGTCATGTTTTCCCAGTCAAGTGCAGAAAACTCCTTAAGAACCAGTCCAGTGTTTGGTGAGGAAAAAAAAACATGATAATTTGACAAGCTAAGACTTGAGGATTATCTGTGAATTTATTTTCTCAAGCTTTGCCTTGATGACAAGTACAATAATAGCAGTAGCTAACACTTAGAGAAGTTATTAAGTGTCAGACATTGTTCTAAGTGCTTTACATATGTCATATCATTCTCAGAAAAGCTCCATGTGGTAAGATTTTATAGATGCACAGAGAGGTGAAGTACTTTGCCCAAAGACACATAATTTTGCAAGTGGAAGAACCAGGAATCAAACAGTACAAGATCTTTTAACCATGTAATTGACTGCTGGTTTCTTTGTATTTGCCTGAATTGTGCAGCAAATGATGAAAGGGCAGAATTAAATAAGAAAATTTTTTTAGGAGAAAAAGTTATGAAGTGGCTGGGTGCAGTGGTTCACGCCTGTAATCCTAGCACTCTGGGAGGCCAAGGAGTGAGGATCGTTTGAGCTCAGGAGTTCGAGACCATCTTGAGCAAGAGTGAGACCCCGTCTCTACTAAAAATAGAAAGAAATTAATTAACCAATTAAAACTATATAGAAAAACTTAGCCGGACATGGTGGCACATGCCTGTAGTCCCAGCTACTCAGGAGGCTGAGGCAGGAGGATCGTTTGAATCCAGGAGTTTGAAGTTGCTGTGAGCTGGCTGATGCCACAGCACTCTAGCCCAGGCAATGTTTCTTATTTTGTTTGATTTAGGAGATGGGGAGAACACTAGGAAAACTGAAACTATTAGGAATGAGGGCAGTTGGTTGAACTGTATACCAATAATCAGAAGCAGCTGTGCTCAAGTGCATAATTTTTGCTCTCCTTGGTTAATTAAGATTTTACCAACTATACCCTTTGAAAATGTTGCTAGGCATGTGTCCATGAATTTAGACTTATTCTGGACTTACTTCACAGTAAGTGAAGTACCTTACTGTGAAGTACTGTGAAGTACCTTACCTACCATATATTCAGTATAGTAGGATTATTATTATTTACTTTATATGTGTGGGGGTGGGGTAGGTATAACATGAATGAAGATTAATCCTAAAAATATCACTCTTGTTTTTGGATGCAAGTGCAAATGTTATAAATTATATGTAATATGTAATCCAGGCATATTCTCATAGATCTCAGGTTTGCATGTAGTTTTGGTTGAGCCCTTTAGGAATGATCGTGACTAGTATTTACACCAAGCTTGGGATAGTTATTATAGTGTTTTGTTAATAATGATCTCAACAAAGATAAAGATAGTAAAACACTCTATTCCAAGACCCTGTAATATAATCTATATATTGAATATACTTTTTAATATATATTATCATGCTATCAATTATTTCTATCATAGGTCATAGAAATTGTAAAACCAACGTTTTGCAATGTGGACAATTCTGAATAAATTCTCAGTTCTTTTACTTCAATGAACATGATCAGCTACACATTTCTAAAGAACTCTTGCTTTTTAAAAAAAATGCTGTTTAGAGTATCACATTAACAAATATGGACTATATTCTCTTAATCCTTAGATTAAATTATCTTTACAGTTCAGAATTCCTAATCGTCTTCTGTGCACCAAAAACTGTGTCACACACTTAAAAACAGACATAGCGAAACACCTTAGTTGTCCTTAGGAAATTTCTAAACAGCTACAGTGAAATGTGATTAAGGCTCCGGGAAAGAAGTTCAGTGGGAGCGAGGCTGGGAGCCCTACTCCTGGGGCTGGGGTGCGGGAGGAGGGCAGGGAAGGGAGGACACTGCAGACAGGTGACATTCACTTAAATCTTCAGTGGCCACGTCATGACTTCAATGCAGGATTTCTCTCTTTATCAGTGTTCTAATAAAGTATCTTACTCCCGAGAAATGCTTTACATTTGCTCTCTGTGTTTCTGATTACAGCAAATAAAACCTTTTGGTAGATCTAGGTTTAGCTGCAACTTTGCCAAAGGTTTCGGGGGCATGTCACATGAGAATGATTTGGTTCTCACTTGGGATTGTTAGAAAGGAAGGGTTGTGGTGAGTTCACGCGTGCTGTGACGCGCGTTGGGTGTTGTTCCACAGTCCTGAAAGCAGCTCTCCAACACACGTGCTGTGGCCTGGCGGGCCTTTGCCCGTCTCCCAACTCCAGCCTCACGTCGTCTTTGGCCTCGCAACTCTAGCCAGCAAAATGGGTCTGTTTACACAATGTCTTCACCTCACGCTGCTTTCAGAGACTCTAAGCTGCAGAGATACGTTATCTTTCTCTCTTCTAAAAGATAGGAAAATATGAGTAAGAAGAGGGGCCAAAAAAAAGCCTCCTAGACTTCAACTTTTGAGAGGCCATAAGAACAACATTAAAATAGAAAATAAAAGCCCATTGCATTTCCAGTAAGTTATTATTTTTAAGATAATTAACATTAAAATCTAACACACTATGTCTCGCTCACTATTACTTGATTTATGAATAAAATAAATTTCCATTGAGAAGACGTGTGAAGTCGCCTCATTGCACAATTTCCCAGGGCCCCTCAGCTGAAACAAAGTGATGTTGACTGCGCACTTGTGAGATCACAGTCCACACTGGGGAAACCCCTCCACATTGTCCAGAAATGTTCCTATTCCAGTCCCTATAGACATGGTCTTGTTTCTTCCTTTTCTAACACTGGTGGTTTCTGTATAGCAAGAACTGCCAAAGACCTGCTTTTGTTTGTCACATAAAAACAGACATTTCTCAAATCTGATTAGGCTGTCATTTGAAATAATGGAGTAGTATATTAAAGAATATATTGGATTTTGATTAAAATGCACTTATAAACCAGGCGTGGTGGCTCATGCCTGTAATCCTAGCACTCTGGGAAGATGAGGCAGGCGGATTGCTCAAGGTCAGGAGTTCGAAACCAGACTGAGCAAGGGCAAGAACCCATCTCTACTATAAATAGAAAGAAATTAATTGGCCAACTAATATATAGAGAAAAAGTAGCCGGACATGGTGGCACATGCCTGTAGTCCCAGCTACTCGGGAGGCTGAGGAAAGAGGATCGCTTGAGCCCAGGAGCTTGAGGTTGCTGTGAGCTAGGCTGCTGCCATGGCACTCACTCTAGCCTGGGCAACAAAGCGAGACTCTGTCTCAAAAAAATAAATAAATAAATAAAATAAAATGCACTTACAACAGTCATTTCATTTCCATTATTTCCTAAGATAAGATAGATTTTAGATAGTCTAAGTGGAAAACATAAGGAAGTATTAATAATATTATATCAGGCAAAATGAATCAATAAATAAAACAACTCAAAACTTTGAAATTCATATGCACAGTCCTAGAAGTTTTAGATAATAGCTTATCTTGTAAATCTTTTGTCTGTGAAACTGTAGCTGGCGCAGTGGTAACACTGGCTGCCCTTGGGAGAAGAGACAACATTCCACCATTCAGGTTATTTTCAATTCCAGGCTTTTCATATAAATCAGTGAGAATAATAACCCTTTTATAATGCACTTTAAATAACATATTATCTCACTTGACCACTCAGTGGTGTAGTAAATAGGATAGTAGTTATTTTTATACTTGTGTACCTGTGGATAGTAGTTATTTGTATACTCGTGTACCTGAGGCTTGGCCAGTAATTTGCTAAAGACAGCACTCCATACTCTGTCCAAGACTTGGATTTTCCTCAACACACTACACAGCAGAACTTTAGAAAGAAAGAAAACTAGAACTTAGAAAACTAGAAAACTAGAGGTTAAGAACTTCAGATACATTGATTAGAAGCATCAAGTAAATGGGCAGAGATTAGAAGTCTGAAATATTTTATTTTGTGCCTGAAAGTGTTGGGTTGTGCTATGTTACCATAGGCTCTATGCCTATGACACTGTGGCTCTGAGTGTCAGAAAGAGGCTGGAATGCTCCCCTTTCTCTGGGGAGACACCCCGAATCTCACAGACTGCCTCATATGGACACAGAAAAAAATAGCCCAGTAACCTCTGAGCTTCTGAGAGAAGGGTAGAAAGGGCAGGAAGTCTCAAAGCTTTTCCCCTTTTCATCTGCAGAGTGAGGAGACTGATCTATAACCTTGGCAACTGTCAAAATGCGATTGACCGTCCAAGTGGCGCTGGTTTAAAGCCTTGTCTGTCTCCCTGCTCCTTTTTTTTTTTTTTTTCAATTAAGCACTTTTTTTTTCTTAATGTAGAACAGAACACCAGGAAGTTATGAACAGAGTTTACAGCAGAAGGGTGTTCTACTACCTCTTAAGTTTGTGCTATAAGTGAGTTTCTGTCTGTTTAATTTCTGTATGGAAAGGTGAAGTCCAATGTCTCCTTTGGCATAGTGAGTGTGCACAGTGATCGGGTGGCCGGCAGTCAGTGCTGGTTGCCCTGGCAACAACATCTCAAATCTCAAATCTTACACTAACATCTGGTGTTCTTAAGCTTAGCAGCTGGTTGTCTACAGAAAAAATTTGAACAAGGAGTTGAAACACAAATGGGAATACCACAAAATAAAAGTGGTTACCTAGGAGGAATACCAAAAAGTAACTAAGCTAAAGCAGGAAATTAGATGCAACTTGTAAAAGGGAGGAATATATCAGAGATTTAAAAAATAGATAAAATAGCCCTAAGACATAAAATGAAGATTCTATGTTTAAGTTTTGCATTATTTTTATAAGCAAATTGACCAACACATGTTGAGACAATGAAAAATTAAATTTTGGAGAATTTGGATGAAGAAAAACAGACTTTTTGAAATCTCTTCAAATCCTAACAGATGTGGAAAATGTGATTCCCCAGTCAGTTAAACCTCTTGACCATTGATGGTAAGGTGTTTGAAGATTAGAAAATGCTCAAGTCTTTTCCTGCAAATGGTTAATCAGTAACTTTTAATTTTTTTTTCTATTTATGAAATCTAACAAATTATCATTATATTTTAAGGCTTTGAGTCTGTTTTTACTTTGAGAAGTTTGTTTTTGATTTATGAACTCATTGAATATATGTTGACACTGAGGCAGTACTCATTTCAGATCATAACCTAACCTTGATATAAGTAAGGAATTTTGTCATCGATATCACTCGTCATTTTAAAGGAGCCAGAATCTGATTATTTATGAAAAGTTGTAAATAGAGAGGAATAGTGAAGGTTCTTAACATTCATGTCTTTTAAGTTGAAAAGTTCATTAAGTTGCCAATTCCTATGGTTAAAAAAAATAAGTCCTGCTGTACCTATCCTCATACTAGGTGATACCAGAATGGCTGAAATAGAAATAGGTCCTTTTCTATAAGGAAACTAAAGCTAAGAGGATACTTTTCTGTAGTTCAAGGCATAATCATGGAGAGTTAAATGAAACCTCTGTACTAATGAGAGTATAAGGCTGATTCTGAGTAGATCTACTAGAAAGAACCAGGAAAACTGGATAAGAATAGAAAGGGAATTAGACTTTTACTTGATACAGGCAAGAGCAGGTTAGCAGTTCATTTTCAAATGGAATGGACAGCCCCTTGGGGCCGTGGTGTCCGCACTGAAGCCAAGACTGGATGGCCACATGTCAAAAACGCTGAGTAAGAATTCATGTTGATTCAATAACTGCCAGTCTCACATCCGAATCTAAGAGTTGTTGTTGTTTAGTCAATGCCACACCAAACGTTCCCTAACCCCTTGGCCACAAGGTTTTTAAGTCTCTTTTTAAACCTCTCAAACTCACAAATGTTTACCTTTTTTGGAGGATGTTTAAAGAGCAATAGAAAGTGGTGAGGAAGAGATGGTCTTGAATGAATCTTAACACATGCACATGTAAACCTGTGGCGTTCGGAATGTCGGAAGAGATCCGAAAAATAGGCAGTGAAGGGGGGGCCTCTGGGGATGAGTCTTAGACACTGTGTTTACAATGCCATCCACCCAACACACTTGAAGCTATACAGGTGAATAGGATTCTGGAGTGAAAGACTCTATAGGTAAATAAGAAATCTGAGGCCAGAACTGTTAAGAATCACTATGTTAGAAAAGACTCGTTTAGGAGAAGAAGTTTAAGAAGAAGACAAGCAATAGAAGCTAAGGGGAAAGGTTGTCCACAAAGGCAAATCCCATAAGAAGAGTAGAGAATGATGAAGTCAATATACTGAGTGATAAAGTCAATAACCCTTTGAATTTAACTATTAGAAGGTTAAGTATGACAAGAGGTGAGTGATGAATTTCTTCTGTACAGTGGCAGCGTACGATTCCACGTAAATTAAGGAATAAATTAGTGGCCAGAAAGAGGAGGTGACATGTGTATGCCACTGTTTCAAGAAATTTACCAGTGAAAGAGAGAATAAGCATAATTAGGATTTTTCTTCAGGAAGGAATTTTTGCAAGGGAATGAAAAGTCGCTAGTAGATGAACAGAATTTAAGAAATGTGTCTCTTTCTAGTCACGCTCTCATGAGCCAGTGTCAGGAAACAATTCAGGTAGTAAGGCAAACTTTTATAAAATAAAGGAAAAATAACTGAGGGAATGAGAAGCTAGGGAGCTTGGAAGAGAGACAGAGCAGTAGGAAGGAGAGAGGACTTCTTTAATGCTGAATATGAAAAATTAAGTTTACAAAATGTATCTACTAATTCACTCACTCACTAAGCATCTACTCCGTGCGAGATACAGTTGTAGACGTTGGAGATACAGTCACAAACAAAGAAAAATTAAAATCCCTACTAAATGTTACTTACACTTCAGTGACCAGAGGCAGAACAGACAATTAATAATATTATTAACAATAATAATATAATAATGTATAATAATAAAAAATAATAATTAAACAAATAATTAAAACAGGTAGTATGTCAGATAGTGAGAAAAATAATTGGGCAAGAATGCCCGAGAGTGGGACAGCGTATCAGGGAGGCTCGACTCTGAAGGAGACATTTGGACAAAGCCTGGAAGGGAGGCGGGAGTGGCCACAGGGCTCTCTGGGAGGCGCGGAGGACACTGGTGTCCAGGAGCAGCAAGCCCCGGGAGGGAGTGCGGCTGCACAGCGTGAGCGGAGGGACGAGGGGAGAGAGGAGCCCTGGGTGGCTGGTCGCAGACACGGGCTCAGTCAGGTGTCCACGCTGAGTGAGGTGCAAAGCCAGGGACGGTTTCTAGCAAGTGACCGGACGTGGCGGGACCCCCTTTCAGCAGGCCCCCAGGCCTGCGGATTGCGACGACGGTGGCAGGGCCTGCCGGGGTGGGGCACGGGCGGAGGTCTGGGGTGGAGGGGGGCAGGGCACGTGGCGGAGAGGCTGGACGCTAAGAACGCTCTGAAGACAGAGCTGGCCGGATTTGCGAGCGGATTTGAAGCTAGGAATGAGGGGGAGGGATGGGTGGCTTCAAGGTTTCTGGCCGCAGCCACTGCCGCCACAGCCTGTCCACGCGCTGGGATGGGGACGGCGCCTGTGAGAAGGACAGAAAGAGCATGCATAGCCTCTGCGCAGCCCTCCAGGGGCCAGCCCCACCGGTGAGGACTTGAGCAGAACATACACATCTGCTGGGCCTTTCCGACTTCCCAGTTTGCGGCCAGCCTGCGACGGCCGTGCGCCGCGGGGCTTGCTCCACACTCTGCAGGGGCTTCGCCAGGGAGTCGTTGCTCGCCAAGCGCTTACCACGCCCGAGCCTGGCACAGGGGACCCAACGCGCGGTGGTTGTGCCTCGAGTTTTGTTGGTGCTGGGCTGTGTTTATAGTGATGCTACTTCATGTTTACCTCATGTTCTGTCTAGGTGTCTAGCTTATCCTAATAGATGAAAAGAACAATGGAAGGAAGTCATATACTATTTCTGTAAAGCAAAAGACAGATTAATGACAGGCAGATCTGGGAATATGTAAGTTTTTCATTAATTGCAAGAGATAGTTTGCCAAAAATAAAACAAAAACTGACCTTTTAAAGCTGTTTTTCTTCATTCTAAACATGAGAAACCAGAAGGCCCTGAATGTTAAGTGACAGGTTCAGAGTCTACATGCCGATTGGTGACAGAGTCAGGACTCAAACCCCAAACTCTGTCTACCAGTCCATAGCACCCTTGACCACAAAATGTTCTCTTATTTGAATCCAAAACCCATTTGTACAAAGATTCTATGAGTGTGCGATCGACTGCTTTTATATACATAAGAGCTATGAGGTTTTTACCCTCTCTGATTCTTTGTGCCTTTACTTGATGCATGGAAATAAAATAAATTAAAATCATAGCAGTGTGACCAGAACTATCATCATTTTACCCAAGGTAAAAAAAAAAAAAAAAAAAGAGTCAAAATAGCCACCCACCCACAGAGTAAAGATCTAGAAATGTGTGAGTAATTCAAGTCACCCAGCACTATGGGTGCTGCAGGTGTTTGTAACACACACCCTTTACTGGAAAATGGTTTCCTGGTGTTGCATTTGGTCCCAGTGTCACTGCGTAAAGAAGAAAATCTCCAACATCAAAGGAAGAAATAAGATTAAAGGATCCTGGCACTTTAGAAATGAGGCATCGTCAGCCCCACCGATGGCTCTGCGGTGACGCTCCACCTCACCCAGCCTCAGCTAAGTGACCAAGTGGTGCGCGCAGATCTGGCGTGCAGATGTTGGAATTTCCGCTGGCTACTTTACAGATCATCATCGACACACATGTATGCACGTGAGGGGATGGCAAAGAAAAGGGTTTGGGGTTGAAAACATTGGCATCAACTTAAGCAGAGATCCAAGAGAGGATGGGATGTCTCAGACAACTGCAGGCAGTGCATTAAGAAGATCCTTTAATGCAGTTAGACCAGGACACTGGCATGAAACCTGACTTGGCCAAGGACTAACCTATGTATAAAGCTCTGCCCATCATGTAAATCCTACAGATGCTGTGTATCTGGGGTTGCTTCAGATAATACCAAAAGAAAACCTCTTATCTTTGATATTAAGTAAACTAATTTATTAAACAAGCAGCTAATGACCAAAACATGCCAGGCGCTGTGTCAGACCCATGATAGGAAATATGAATACCTCCAGTTCTGATCTACGAACTTACATAGTTTAGCAGTTTGCTCAAATATGTTGTAAGGGATTATAAGCTTAGCCAGTTAAGTAAAAGGGCTGATCTTCAGCAAGAAATCGGAGTCTCATCTCCATGGCAATTTTTAAGTTAAGTGCTTTCACCTGCGTGTTTTCATTTTGACGGTGATTTAATTTAAAAAGCTGGTGAGGCAGAGAAAGCAAGTGCCTCCTAGAAGCCTACTTTGCTTAAATATCCGACAGTCCCTGACTGAGTCAGTGGAACCTGCCATCAGAGTGGGCAGCTCAGCGCAGCACGGCTGCCCCCGGAGTGTGGTCTCCGGACCAGCGACATGGGAGCCACCTGAGAACTTGCTGAAAGTTCAGATCTCGGGCCCCACCACAGACCTACCGAGTCCGAGACTTTGAAGGTGGAAGCCTGCAGTCTGGGCTTTTACACCCGCCAGGGGGTGCTGATGCAGGCTCACATTTGAGAACCTCTGGTTTGGTAAATAATTTGGAGTTACAAACCCCAAGTTCTGTTTCTAGCTCTAACACTTACCAACAGCACGTCGTCTAACAATCTCCGAGCTGACTTCCTCAACTGTGCAATTGAAGTCAACGATGCCTACCCAAACTGCTCAGTGGGTACTGAGTTTTATCTAGGAGTGATGGAGACGTTTTGGAACTGAATCAGAGGCAGTGGTTGCATGGCTTTGTGAATCTATGAAACGCCACCGAACAGTTGACTTTAGAATGATTAATTTTATGTCAGGTGAATTTTACATCAATAACTTCTTAAGCATGCCGGCTCAACTCACCTTCCTAGTCTGACGATTGCAGACGTGTGAAGCCTTTGCGAGCCACAGGGCGCTGCGCAGACGTGAGTTCATAGGAAGGCTGTTCTGAGAGTGACTATCCTAGTGCTGTTATTTTCCTGAAAAACAGAGACCTCCGTCATTTCGGTTAGACAGACACTTAGCAAGTGTTGCCAAACACCATGGCATTTTAAAGAAAACACTTTATCTTTCTAGCACTTTCCAAGCAGCTGTGTCAGGGTGAGTGGGGGTGGATGGAGGTGGGAAAGGCTGCTCACGGCAGGTGTGGCAGGTGTGGCAGGTGTGGCAGGTGTGGCTGGTGTCCCGGGACACTGCCTTCAGGTGCCGCCCTCCAGCTCATATGCACGCCCCAGTCACCCTGAGTCGATCAGTCAGTCAGTAACAGCCACGATGCTCCACGTACCTAAAACATTTTCACTCAGTCTGGCGACATCGATTCTCTGCTCCCCGCGCACAGCGTGGTGGGCGGCTCGTGGGGAGGCTGCCCGCGCACGCAGAGGTCCTTCCCGCCTGACAGAGGAGTTGCCCGTTCAGCCTCTGCAATAGCAGATGGAAACAGGAAGAGAGAATATCGATTCCACATAGTCAGGATGCTGCCTGTGCTCTGTGTAGACCAAGTGATTTGAGATTATGTCTGGAGTTGGCTGCTTATTAGGGATTGGTTTTCAAATTCTGTCTATGTTGCAGAAATTCTTCATTTTCTTTTAATGGAAATGTCAAACATACACAAAAGTAGAGAAAGGACCCTGCATGCCTGTCCCACAGTTTTAAAAATGTTTAGCTCATGGCTAAATCTCGTTTCTTGCACACTCCCCAACTGACCCGCTAGAGGTTATATTATTTTACCCATAAATATTTTAGATGTTTCTTCCAAAGAAAAGTTTTTAAGAATAGCTGCAATACTATAATCATAACTAAAAATTTATAATTCTTTAATATTATTAAATATACAATAGATGGAATTGTTGAGTTTTTACAATTTTGGAAATTAACAAAGACAAGTGATTACAATTAAAATTTGTGATTTGTAATAAAGAACAGTGGTTGGCTTTTACTCATATGTAAAGTGACACATAGATAAAGTGCCAAGGCAAATTGTGAAATCATTTTGTAAAAATTACATCTACAAAATGTCTGCAGTTTCCAGGAGCCTATTATTTTTAGAGTCTCATGAAAATGTGCACGGTTTGCAGAGGAGCGCTAGCCCCCAGGGCATCTGTTGGCAGGCAGAATCTTTTTGGCTGGTGAGACAGTGAATTTAAGGATCCACGACTGGGCTGAGGTTACGTGTAGAGTTACTGAACTCTAGTGAGAAATGTGAAACTCTCCTCCTCACCACACCCAGGTTATGCACCCAAATTCCCAGACAATTCTTGTCTTATTTTCGGCAAAGCTTGTCCTCAATGAAAACCATACTGCACTATCACCAGAAACACATTTTTTGCCTTGGATTGGGTATTGGTTGAGGACTCAGCAATGAACCAGACAGACATCAGGACATGGGTGTGTTGTGGTATTACCCCATCTGTGCACATCCCAACATGTTTCTCCAACCGTGGAAGGATCCCATAGTTAGGGAAACATGAACAGGACGCAACAGGACAAAACACATGGCTGTTAAGTAAGTTCTGTCTGGAGATCTCCAAACATGTGTTGGCAGTTTATGACAGAGGTAATTTGTTAATACGTAAGCAGTTCACTCCTTTGAAGACAAAAGGCTCTACATACACATGCTGTTAAATATTAATATTAATTATTATTATATAATCAATAACGAGCTGATGACTCCTCTAACTGATTCACTCTGTGAAACTGTATTTTGAAGATCTGTGATTTCTTATTGGAAGGTTCCCAGAAAGCAGGACTGGACTTTTTTGCAAATTTGCCGATGTTTCTATGTAAGAAAGTCATTCTAATGTTTCTTGCAAGTGTCATTTGGAAGTTGCAAAGAGTTTCCAACGTGCCACTTTTAAAAGTACAGCTCCAGTTCTCATTATTCTGGGATAAACAGTCTTACTTAAAGGCACCTTCTTGGCCTTTTCAAATCACCCTACTTAAAATCAAGGCAGAGTTGGGTCAGTGTGTGTTAGACAGTGCTGTTCTTCAGGAGGGAAGATGAAAAGCAGCGCATGACCAGATGCTTATGGTTTTGATCTGCCCTCAGACAGGAGCCTGACTAGTGCTGGGTTTTGTAATAAAAATCACTTCATTCAATGTGAATATGGAAACAACTTGACTTGTCTGTGTGAATAAAGTTCTGGTGATCCCATTTAAACCTAGGAAATGTTAAAGTCACGTGGTAATCCATCCTGTCTGATACCTGCTGTGCCCAGGTGTGCCGTGTCTTTTCTCTTCCTACAGAACAGGGGGATCCAATTACTGCAGACTGTGCACAGAGACTGCACAGGAGTCTTACCAGGACTTAACCTTTTCAAATACACAATCTCTTCCCGGACTCAAAATATGTAGCAAACATGTAACTTAGGAAATGTAACCTAGAAGACACAGTTGTTATTTCTTCTCTCTTTGTCCAAGTAATAATAGGCTCATACCATCTTTCTACAAATATCAAATACAAACCCAGCTTAGGCGGAAGGAAGTCTTTACTTGGAATCAGGGCATGAAAAATGCATGAATGTTTCTAAAATTCCAATAAGTGTGGGTACAATGAGGAAAGTTGGATAGTTGTGTACAAGAACTGTAGACATTATTTGAAATGAATTTGGTTCAAAACCTAGAAGCATTGTCCACATTTTTGGTAAAAATTGACATGCCAGTGAGATTTAACGAATTTAACATGGCTGGTGGGAACCTTGTGTAACTCAATTTGTTTAGGATCATAAGTGAGTTAGAGATCAGGTGTATGTTTTAGCGGTGGCATTCCATGAAGCACGTATCTGGAAAACGTACTTCAGCTGTTACGTGCTGCTTGACACGTTGCCGTGACTAAGGTGGTGCCCAGCACCACAGACATTTCCAGGAGGCTCTCGCAAGCTGCCTTTCCCGCTTTTTGCAACACCACCTCATAGTGGTGAAGGCTCCCTAAGCAATATTAGATACAACCCTCCAACAAGAAAAATATTTAGAAACAGAACAGAGACAAATTAGAAATATTTAAGATGGGAATGTCGCTAGTGCCACAGGACCCTCCGAAGTCCCCACTGTCAAAGCCCCCACTTGTCAATAGGCTTGAACAGTTCCAAGAGGATGGTTAGTCAAGACGTCAGACCCAGCGACGGCTGCATGGCTGTAGCGTGTCACTATTGCTATGGTAGAGACCATCTAGAGCAGGGCTCCTCAAACTTTTTAAACAGGGGGCCAGTTCACTGTCCCTCAGACCGTCAGAGGGCTGGACTATAGTTTTAAAAACTATGAACAAATTCCTATGCACCCTGCGCATATCTTATTTTGAAGTAAAAAAACAAACAGGCAAAAACACCCGCATGTGGCCCGCAGGCCGTAGTGTGAGGACGCCTGATCTAGACCACTTGGAAATGCAAGAGCCTATCTTTCACTTTAGATAACTCATACATGAAAAATATGCTCAGCTGTAGGAGCGTAATGTGAAGGAACTGGTGATAGCACTTGAAATGTGAATGTTATGGCTCAACATGAAATACTTGCAGCCAAGATACTGGCCGGAAAATCATTCAACAGCCAATTTCCTTCCTTCTTGCATACATATATTGCCCTTCCCTACATAGTCGTAGGTTATAGATGACTTATTTAGGGCTTAGCTGATTTAAAAAAAATCAATTTCAAAATATCTACAAAATCATCTCTTAATGTTCAAGCTTTTTCCTTTTACCATTTCATGTTGGGTTCTCATGTGAGCATTTTTGTCAATTCAATGCTACAAATTTCCAATCACTGTTGCAACAAAATCTCATTCATTAATTCATTAGTGGATAAATTGTGGAATGCTGTATTATTCCAGGCATTGTGTGGCCACTGGGGATACAGAGATGAAGGATGTTTTCCTTACTCAGAGAGTATAGAGAAGGCAGATGAAGAATTCAACAGAGTGTGATCTACATCACGGTCCAGATAAGCATGAAGTGTCCGCAGGGCGCCGGCTAAGGAGACGCGCGTCTTAGCAGAGGTGGAAAGTCAGCCCAGAGGGTTCCCAAAAGTGAAGTCAGAGGACAGCATCTCTGAATGACGACTCGGGACTTCTCTCATGATGAAGGGAATGGAGGAAGGGTGTTCCTGGTAGAGGGGCAATGTCTGCAAACACGTGGATCCGTGGGGCCGCGGCGAGGGCCGTGCGCAGCCGCGCCGGCGGGACTGAGGGCTGCAGAGGCGGGCAGGGAACGCGCACCGCGCTGAGAACCAGGAGGTTTTCTGATCATCTTATTTTTAACGCAGCTTCCTTTGTTGGTTAAAACAAACAAATAAATATAAAACCAGGCCAGATTTCATATAGCATTCAGAACATGTTCTAGATACATTTCACTGTTCGATATAAGGGGGAAACTTTGAATAAAAATACGGAGTTACAGATGGACCCTCACGAAGTCACATAAAAACTCCATGAGCCAGTGGGCTAATGAAGTTTGATTGCTGCGTTTGCCTAGAGTTCCCGTGAACCCAAACAGCATCGAGTCCCGCTGCGGCTGGACGCACCCATCCCAGCCCTGGGGGTGCGCCTCCTTCGCCCCTCAGCCCTTCCCTCCCGCCTCCTTCGCCCCTCAGCCCTTCCCTCCCGCCTCCTTCGCCCCTCAGCCCTTCCCTCCCGCCTCCTTCGCCCCTCAGCCCTTCCCTCCCCGCCTCCTTCGCCCCTCAGCCCTTCCCTCCCGCCTCCTTCGCCCCTCAGCCCTTCCCTCCCGCCTCCTTCGCCCCTCAGCCCTTCCCTCCCGCCTCCCCCGACGTCCATTTTCCAGCGCGACACTTGCTGCCAAGGCCGCTGGAGTGTGAGCCAGACGTGGAGGCAGGCGTTAAGAGGAGCCCGTGCCAGGACAGCCGGGGGACAAGGGCCCGAGAAACGTGCGGGAGCGACGCCGAGGAGCAGCCCCACGCGCGGGCCAGAAGAGCCCACGGGGTGCAGGGAGAGCGGCTTGGACCTGGAGACAGGGTTGCATTCTTTCCTCGGGCCACAGAGCCGAGCGGCCTTGCCCTGTGAGCATGCGCGGTGCCGCCCGCACGTTCTTCTGGGGGATCGCGAACGCACTGAGCATGTCACCCGAGATGCGCCGCGTTTCCGAGGTGAGATTTGAACACCAGGCTCACACAGACCAAAGTGTCTGTCCTCTGGCTCATGATTCCCTCCATTTCCAATCTGCTAGCAAAGCATTTAATAGAATATTTTGATAGAAATAGATTATAAGCCCATGAATGATGTCTTTATACTATGCTGCTCGCTAGACGTAAATTCCCTTCGCCCTCATGTGCTGACCCTCCGTCCTCCTTCCGCACAGTAGGAATTTGAATTGGTTCCTCGAGGTGGGAGGCTGAGAACAAGTCCATGTGTGTATTGAGATACTGATTATTTTTTGGAAAAGTATTTTATTTTAATAGACAACATGTGGTCATATTATTATTATCAGAAAAATAAAAATACTCTCCAAGCTCAGGCTTTTCAACTCAATCGTCTGGAAAATGTCTGAAGTAAAAGAGTGGCCTTGTCCATTATGAAATGCCATCTGTCACGAAGGCAAGTAACACTTCTCCCAGGATGCTTTGAACCTCCCATTATGTTGGGACTTGGAGACTGGTTCAAACTCTCCCAAACGTAGTTTGTCCTGATATTTGAAAGCCAGACATGATTAATTGACTATATAAGTTTACTTAGAGCGCTCCTTGCATAAATTGATATGTAAGATCTTCCTTACCAATTAAACATTCCAAATAAACAGAAGGAAACACAGGCGTGGGACACGGACCCTCACTGTGTCACAGGGTATGTACGTAGAGGCCGGAGATACCCAGAGAAGGTCTCAGCTGGAAAATGGGAAAGAAGAAGAATGGTAAAGTAACTGAATATATGAGATAATTTCCGTTCCTTTCTCTTACTAACAGATAAGGTGGCTTGTTCAAGCAGTTAGAGTCCTTTATCTTGTTGTGATGTCACTTGCAGCTAAGTCCTCCCGTACCCCACAGGTGGACATTTCTGGTCCAAGAATCTTCACAGACCCACGACTGTTTTATTTTCTTCTAAACGGCAGAGGCAGGAAGGTGAATTACGCAGGCAGAGCTCTGTGGTAGAACCGAGAGCAACTTCCTTGTCCTAGTTTTCAGTCAAAGGTTTCTTAGTCATTTTAATCTTCGTGGGGGTGGCTAATGAGGAGCGCCTTACTCCACCTGTCCAGGTGGTCACCTGGGGCAGCCACACCACAGCTGCCCGCCTGGAAGGATAGGACCCCCCTGCCTTTTTGCTCACAGACTGTGAATTCAAATGGGAACATTTTAGAATTTTCAAGAAATATTTACATGGGGCTTACAGTATCTCCCCTTAAACAGAAATTAGAAGTCCTTTCACCACAGAATGAATATTGAGGGTTACATTTTGCTGTATTTTTATCTACCTTCCCAACCGTAAAAGAACAATCTTTTACTTTTATCTGCTTCCCTCAGATGTTTCCTCAAAATCAGAATAGAATGTGGCCAGTGGCCATTGGACGTTAGTCTGCCCTAATTCCTAGAGGAAATGAAAGAGAATTAAACGAGATTAGAGAAGCATTGCAGATTGAATGTTCTATAGTCAAATCAGCCAAGACGGTAAACATCAGTCAATTAATTGTTGGAACAATGCATTGTTCCAATTATTGGAACAATGTAATTGTGTGTGTATGTGTGTGTGTGTGTGTATTTTAATGTTGTATTGGTAATCTGATTCTGCTAATGAGGTATAAAATTTATAAAGCAAAAGACACAATTTTATTTTTATTATTTTTAAATTTTATTTGTATAAATTTAAAGGGTATAAGTGCAATATTGTTACGTGAATATATTGTATAGTGGTGACGTCTGGGTTTTTAGTGTGTCTATTATCTGAATAATGTCAGAAATTTTGGTCTGGATGCTTGACACCTTGTGGAAGAATCCCTGACTCTAATACAATCAAATTCTTCCAAGATTTCTTAATATGAAACCATAAGGCATAAATCGGCAAGGAGTAAGAAATTTCACTTTGATCTTATAATATTTCCTTTTTAAATTGTAATAATGTTTTTATTTCAGCATATTATAGGGGTACAAATGTTAAGGTTACGTATATTACCCATGTTCCCCTCCCCCCTTCAGTCAGAGCCTCAAGCGTGACCATCCCCCAAATGTTGCACATCTCATTGTATTTGTATACACCCATCCCTCCTTCCCCCCTCCCACCTGCCCAACACCCAATAAATGTTATTCCTGTATGTCCACTTAGGTGTGGATCCGTTAATATCAATTTGCTCGTGAGTACATGTGATGCTTATTTTTCCATTCTTGGGATACTTCACTTAATAGAATGGGTTCCAGCTCTATTCAGGAAAATACAAGAAGTGCTATATCACCATTGTTTCTTAGAGCTGAATAGTACTGCATGGTATACATATACCACATTTTATTAATCCACTCATGAATTGATGCGCACTTGGGTTGTTTCCACAGCTTTGCAATTTTGAATTGTGCTGCTATAAACATTTGAGTGCAGGTGTCTTTTTCATAAAGTGACTTTTGATCTTTTGGGTAGATGCCCAGTAGTGGAATTATTGGATTCCACTGGATCAAATGGTAGATCTACTTGTATCGCTTTGAGGTATCTCCATATTGCTTTCCACGGAGGTTGAACTAGTTTGCAGTCCCACCAGCAGGGTAGGAGTGTTCCTCTTTCTCCACATCCACGCCACCATTTATTGTTTGGGGAGTTTTTGATAAAGGCCATTCCTACTGGAGATAGGTGATATCTCATTGCAGTTTTGATTTGCATTTCTCTGATGATTAGAGATGTTGAGCATTTTTTCATATATTTGTTGGCCATTATTCTGTAGCATATAGTGCAAATTATACAATGTTTTAAAAGGTTTACACGTAAACTGAATTTTCTTCTTTCCTCTCTCAATAACCCTGTCCACCTTCCTGTGGGTACACTCCATTACACATATCTTGTGTATTTGTTCTGCGATATTACACATACACACACAGCTTTCTGTATGTATGTGTATATACATAACATATACACATGTGTTCACATGTGCATATTCACAAGAATCTCATGCCCTCATTTCTAAACCCATGATGTTGTAAGTTAAAAATTACTCACTTCAACTCATATAAAAACATAAACTCATGAGTGTTTAAACTCAACTCATATAAAAACATTAAACTCATGAGTGTTTGCATTTTGGGCACAGACATTCACCAACTGTGATCTATTCTATAATCACAAAGCAGGTCTTTTCTAAACAGTAATTTGAAAGTATGATATCATATCTACCTGAATATCAGTTTTTGAATTTTTGAACGTATTTGTATTGAAAAAGAAAACATTGATGCTATACAAAGAATAGAAGATAATAAAAACACACATAACTCACTTATCATGCTTGATATGGAGAAGAGTGCTTGCTTTGTAGAGACCCACAGCATACAAGATACAAAGGAAACTGCAAAGCCAGGCACTGCCGACGAGACACCGGCGCACACCACAGGGGTGTGAACCGGTCCGCCATGATGCTGCGCTGGCAGCTCCGAGTCCTCCCTGTGCTCCTCCCAGCGTGCACGGGTGTGTTTGTTATGTGTTATTTTATTTTTCATATAGTTTTAGAAATTCTCAACTCACCCCTAAGCACAGTGGCTAAGTACTAGGAGTGAAGATGAACTTTCCTGGAGATAGTTGCTGTTGTCAGTGAGTTTCTTACCCAGACTTGTGCTGTTGTCAGAAAGCCAATTCCTCACTTGGACCCATGTCTACCCAGAGATCCTGCTGGGTCCACATCGTATATGGACCAGGCATTGTCTATATGAGACATACACAGGCGGCATCATTCCTCTCTGCAGCAATTCTATATAGCAGCTTTTCCCTGTCTCACCTTATTGTATGATCACTGGGGCAATATTTGTTAAAAATATAGATTCTGGGACCCCAGCTAGTCTTATAGAAATAAAACTTCTAGGAGTCTGTGAATAAGTAGTTTATAAAGAAATCCCATGGAATGTTTATGACAAGGCAAGTAAGGAAACACAAGTGAATTTAGCAATTATATCAATTTTGTCCAGGAGGAAACTGAAATTCAGTAACTTAGCTAAGAGTCGCACAAGAAATTAACTTTGGAGGCATAACTCCAACTGCAATATAACTCTAAAATTCATCCTACCATGTTCCTTTTCTGAAGGTCATGAGGTCAGGCAAATCTGTAAGGCGACATACAATCAAAATTTATATTATAGACAACATCAGATTTACAAGAGACTTTAAAATAGTGCAGTTTCTTTCTCTATTTGGTTAGGACAAATATACTCAACAATCACAGAATTAGGAAGACCTTTATAATTGGACATGGCCCCCAAGCACTGTTGTAAAACCTGAGATGCCGCTTCTAGAGCGTGAATACAAGTGTTTCATCCTACATATTTTAAGTGAGGGAGGGGAATGGGTCAAAAACAAGGATAATCAAGTGCTGGGTGAGCCACACAGCTGAGACTTGCTGGGTGCTGAGGCCGCACGGGAAAGGCTAGTT